GAAAGGCCACGATCCTCGCGATCGGCAAGGCTTTCCCCAGCCAAGTGATCCCGCAGGAATGCTTGGTGGAGGGTTTCATCCGCGACACCAAATGCGAGGACGCTTCGATCAAGGAGAAGCTTGAGCGCCTCTGTAAGGATAGCTACTTTGTACCGATCACCGAATACCTCGACCCCATTCTCCCTCGGTCCCTAGAATGCATACGACCAAAGTAAACGCTATTTGAAGAATCAGTTTTGCAGAAGGGAACGAATATATTTCTGAATTTGCTAACCCAACCAAAATACAAGGGTTGTACCGTAACCTTTCCTATTCTTCTAAGTTAGCAACATTAGTCGCGGTACTCATATATTCCTAGATTAACCTAGGTTAACATTTGAAGAACATCTTCGTCGAACTACAGCCACCCTGTTCACATTGTAGACTCCACAATTGTGGTAGATTTTATTGTAATGGTATCATTAGATTCAGGGGACATGCAAACACCAAGGCAATGAAAATGAGAGCCTCTACTTATTTTCATTGCTTACTTGCTCTGCCCTTGTGAGTTTAGCACCATGAGAGTTTTCTCTCTGCTTTTGGCAGGTAAAACCACTACTGTGAAGACAAGATACACAGTGATGTCCAAGGAGATCCTAGACAAGTACCCTGAACTGGCTCGGGAAGGCTCTCCCACACTCAACCAAAGGCTTGAGATAGCCAACCCAGCAGTCACAGAGATGGCCCTCCAAGCCAGCCTCTCCTGCATCAAGCAATGGGGCCGGCCCCTGGGGCACATAACCCACCTCGTCTACGTCTCTTCGAGCGAGCTGCGCTTGCCTGGCGGTGACCTCCACCTTGCGACCCGGCTTGGCCTGAGGAGCGACGTTGGTCGGGTGATGCTCTACTTCCTCGGCTGCTACGGCGGTGTCACCGGCCTCCGTGTTGCCAAGGACATCGCCGAGAACAACCCTGGGAGCCGCATCCTGCTGACCACATCCGAGACCACCATCCTCGGTTTCCGGCCCCCGAACAAAGCCCGCCCCTACGACCTTGTGGGGGCCGCCCTATTCGGGGACGGGGCGGCGGCGGCGATCATCGGGGCGGACCCCTTGCCGAGCCATGGCGAGTCCCCCTTCATGGAGCTGAGCCACGCGGCCCAGCGGTTCCTCCCGGGGACCCACGACGTGATCGACGGCCGTCTCTCGGACGAGGGCATCTACTTCAAGCTCGGACGAGACCTGCCCCAGAAGATCGAGGCCAACATCGAGGAGTTCTGCAAGGGCCTCATGGCGACGGCCGGGCTCGGCGAGGGGTTCAACGACGTGTTCTGGGCGGTCCACCCGGGCGGGCCCGCGATCATGAACAAGCTGGAGAACACGCTGAAGCTGAGGAGCGACAAATTGGAATGCAGCAGGAAGGCGCTGATGGACTATGGGAACGTGAGCAGCAACACCATATTCTACGTGATCGAGAACATGAGAGATGAGCTGATGAAGAGAGGGGGCGGTGAGGAGTGGGGGTTTGCACTGGCATTCGGACCTGGCATTACATTTGAAGGCATTCTCATGCGTAGCCTTTCGTAAGAAACGTGAGGATTGTCCGAATTCTCATTGGGAAATTTGCTAAATGTGTCGGGCAATTTGGTACCTTTTTACAAATCTAAAGTGGACAAGTAAGGAGGAATTTGAATTCACAGTTTTAAGTCTCTTTGAGCTTCATTACATTAGTATGAAAGATTTATAAATCAGCACCAAACAGCAAGCAGCCTTGCGTAGCAAAATCCCAACTTATGTTAGAACTTTGTTTATCTCAGTATAACAATGGAATAGCCAGATTAATGGGAATGGCTTATATATATAATTTATATGTCGAAATGTGGAAAAAAAAATTTCTTGAATAAATATCATGTCAAGAATGCCCACAATTTTTTTTTTTACATTTACACGTGTCTCGCCCCAAATCCTTCGTAAATTCATCAATAGGAGGAAATTATTTAATTGCTAATGGCACGTACACGTATTAACGACACTGCGAGAAATGGGTAAGTACCGTTTATCTTCAAAACGGAAAATATTTCCTAGTTTGATTCAATAAGCAAACATTCCCTATTTTAGAACGCAACTTGTTTTAACACCACCTCACAACTACTTAAACCACTCAATCTCAATTCTATTCCCAACATAAAAACAGTGTCTTTCTCGGTTTCTTTAATAGCCACTTGATACTCTTTCCCTTCCTCATTTGTCACGTTTCAAAACCCGTTAACATGGTTTTCTTCACAAGATCACTTTCTACGGTCATCAAATCTGCACCTGCATCGCCGATGACCCCTCCGATGTCACCCATTGGATCATCGATGTCGAGCGTGCCCACATGCTTTGGCTGAATTGGCTCGTCGTCGGCCTTGACATTGAGTGGCACCTGAACCTCGAGCCTGGCATCGTCCACCCTGTGGCTACCTTGCAACTATGCGTTGGCCGCACTTGCCTCGTCTTTCAAATCCTCCATGCCAAGTACATCCCACGTCATTCTATGCATTTCTAGCTAATCTCAACTATACATTCGTTGGTGTTGGCATCAAGGATGACAGAATGAAGTTGAGCAACGACTACGGCCTTGCCGTGTCACGCATGGTCAATCTTTGTGCACTGGCGGTGGGGAGGTGGCGGAACCCATTGGGTTACATGGGCTGAAGAAATTGGTCAAAGCTATACTTCGTAAAGACCTCGAGAAGCCCAAGGAGATCACATTGAGCGAGATCACATTGAGCCAGTGGGACAACAAGACATTGACGGCTCGTCAAGTTGAGTAGACGTGCCTCGATGCCTTTGTCACCTTCGAACTTAGAATGGCTTTGCAAGCATGGTCAGTGGGTAGAGCTCGTATTGGTTGGTGTGCCGGGCTAAGTACCTGATGGTGCCCAATATGGTTGGCCCTAATTTGCTTAGTCAAGTTGGCTCATGAACTGGTTAAATGTTTTGTAAACATGGGATGACAAACTGTAGTTTCTTTTTGTAAATGAAGTTTTTTCTTGTTGGTCTTTACACGGGTTGATCGCTAGTGTATACAAGTGAGTTGTTCGTCAAATCTTATTCATACTTGCCATCCAACATGCGAAAACAATGTGATTTAAAAAAAAATAAAATAAATCAAGGAAAGCAAATCTGATCTTAAATTAAATTTGTGTCTAGAAATGATTACAGCCTCACAATTTCATTAAAAATTTGTAAAACTCAATTGAAATTGAAAATACTAGTCAGAATCGAAGTTTGCTGAAGATATAATGAATAAAAAGTTGTAATAGGCAAGTGTCATGGGCCGATTATTTGGGATCAAACTGTGCGGCGACTTGAATTGTTGGAGCGTCATCGTAGAAGGAGAAAGTGTTTTAGAGAGAGAAGCTTTGTCAGAGAATGTTTTCTATTATTCAACTGTTTAGATAGATACAAATGAGGGAGAGAGCTTCCCTATTTATACAAGAGGACCCTTCGTTATAACTGTTGATCTACTTTAGATTAAGCAGTGGATATTGCATCTCCCCATCTACTAACTGCCAGCATTTATGCCGAGAATTCTCTAGAACCCGATATATTTACCATATTACTTGTCTCTGGAAATGTTCTAGAAGCTTTAAGAGTTAGATTTGTACCGGTCTTCTTCGATCGTAGATGGCCTTGGTACATGGGAAACCTCAAGACCCTGAAACAAGATATAAACATATAGGAAGTATTAATCTATCAAATGTCAAAATTACTTATATTTCGTTTAGACGTTGCAATTTCATTTATAGTGCAAAGTTTCGAGTAGAAAATCCAACTTTTTCAACGGGATGGATAGCTTTGCGAGGGTTAAGATAGTATAAAATAATAATAAATTCACACAACAAAATTAATTCAGCTGACCAATTAAAATTTTGAAATATTTAGTGATTTAGGCTTGATATAGCAACCATAGAATCACTTTCGCTTTGTGTTATTAACACAATCTGAAGTAATATTGAATATTTAACTCGAGAATAGACTGTTAAACGGGTGGGTCGGGTCGGATTTGGGTCGGGTCATTAATAGTCCACCCAAATTGACCCATTAACCCGTTTATGACCCATTTATTCATAGTGTAAATATCTCGACCCATACCCAACCCATATTGCTAAAACACTTTTATATTTAATATAATCTAGGAATATTTGTTTCTTATGATTTTTTTTAAATTATACTTTTGCTAAACATTTTATGCAATACAAAGCTAGTGAAAATTTTTTATAATTTTTTTAAAATTGAGGTTCTGTTTGTTTTACGAAAAATGCGACATTTCTAAAAAATATTTTCCATAAAGTCATTATCCAAGAAAATAAAAAAAATTAATAAGTAATATTGAATATTTAACTCGAGAATATGATGTATTAATTTCCTAAAACGATCAAAATGTAGCACTGGAGGCATTTTCTTTTGATCGTATACTAGAATTACTCTTAAGCTTTATTTAGAATTGACAATACATTTTCTAAGATGAATAATAGATCATTGTAATCATATTCTTACATGTGACATTCTATTTGATAATAATTAAAACCCAAAATATTATATCGCTTGCAAGCATTAGAATATACTTGAATCATTTTCTAGTATATTACGTGGAGGAGATAGTGCTCACCTAAGTGCTTTTCTGGGCAAAATTTGCCAAAGTTATAATGATGGTGAAAATTGAAGGCTTGCATTCAATAAAGTAACCCCTCTTGTTTCTCTTGCTTTTCGATGGAGTTTAGCCAAAGATGAAATGAAAGATTTTCTGATCAATAAACTTAAGATGTACTTGCATATACTTTTACTTTCTGATTTTTTACTTAATTTAAATATTCTCACTAATGCACTGATTTTTTGATAACCTCGAAGTATCTGAAATTTCCACAATATTCTAATATCGACACGTATTCACAAATATTTTTTCAGAATATTTTTTAAAGTTTCAACTATATTTTAAAAATTTGATGCAAAAATCAAAAAGTATATTTATTCCTATTACTAGTAATTTCAGGTAACTCTGATTAATTTCAGAAAAGTTATGCTTTACGCGAGATCAGCCGTGGTACAAATAGTGATACATCTTCTCAAAAGCTATGTACATCAATTGATGTAAGGCTCTGACCTAGTTTAAGTCTCTTGACGACATCAATCTAAGAACTTAGAAATAATAATCCAAGTATTACAACTTATGGTATAGAGATGGGAAAGGATACCCTATAGCTTTATTCATCTTTGGCTTCAAGCTCCTGCCTCTTGTTCTCCCCGACTTCCACAAGCAATGTTAGAAGAGCCTCGCACACTTTAGATGCGTCGGCCTCAGATGGGTTGTCACTCAATGTCGAGTAAACCATCCAGGCATGATCCAGCTTGCGTGTGGGCCGCACAACCACAGATCCTGGAACCTCTGCATCCCGCCGTGTAACGAGCCCGTCGCTCTTCTCCCCATACCTGACTTGGAGAAGCCGTGCACATGCAGCCATCGCAGCTCCAAGGGGCATTACCACAGGAAGCTTCGCAGGCTGACCAGCCGAGAAGGAAGGAAGTTCTGCATGGGCAACATGAGACAGAGATGCTATAACTGCAGGCGTGATGCCTGCCTCCGTGTGGAATGAAACAACCGGAAGTTCTCTTGGCAATTGGTGCTTAGTCAAGAATTCTTTCCTCTTCTCGTATGTCAAGTCTTCCAGAGCTTGCATGTCACCCTTCAAAAAGATGTATGAGAATATGAGACATACACCATTCTTCTTCAAAGTGACAATTGAGAAATAGACCTTTCTTTCTGTTGGTTTTCAAAGAGAAAAGAAGGATCTTTAATTCTGTTCACCGCGGGCCACAGCCAATGCTCACCCATTAACATGCATTTATCATTAAGAAATTCACTTCACATTCCACTAATTGATTAGAGAAGTACACAGGTCCTAACATTGCCTGTGCAAAGGCTCTTTCTATTGGTGGAAAATGGAATTCAAATGTTATAGATGCAGATGAAATGAGAATTACTTCGTTTGTACTTGTACAAATAGAGTGTAGAGCACTCGTTGTGGAAAAAACTATTTGCACTCCTGTTAAATGGAATAAATATTGTATATACTAATGAGCTCACAGCACCTTCTTCACATTATAATCATGAATGTCAAATTAATTTGTTACGAAACACAATCCTATTATAGCTGTGGAACTTCCTAAGCAATAATCAGGTAACCTTAGGTGACGTCCAATACTGCAACCAAGTAAATTCAAGTGAAAAACATAAAATAAAATAGGAAAAACAAGAGAAACCTGATATACTAAGAAACATGTCTTAATCACGGCCAGCCTATTTGCAAACTCCAACTGTGACTTCCCCTACTTATAGGTGGTTACATCCACACTGTTCTACTCATTTTTAATATCCAGCAAGCTTCTTTATAATTTTCCTTTATCCGCACCTATTCTACCATTCGGTGAGAACATTGAACAGGACCATCTAATACCCAGGCTCCCAGCTTCCAGTTTCAGCTCATGAGCATGAAAAGATGTTTCTAAGATTGCCTATTATCAACGCCTTAACATATATTTACCGTCCAAAGAGATTACCGTTTTATTCTTCTACACGATACAATTGTCATCCCAATGATCTGTACCTCGCCACATATATATTTAAAATTTGCCAGCACATAGGGGAAAACATGCCCAGAGTGTGACATATGTAAAAGAAGAGTAAAAAATTCTATTAGCACCTAAAATCTTCTCCTCCTCTTCCATATTATTGTCTCTGTTCATCTTCCATTATGTCACATGTTTGGAGCAAAAATCACGTGTCTTTCCCTCTTTGTACCATTTAATATCATTTTGTTGGAATTGTCTCTGGTGTAAGCAGAAGGGAACGACTAGACTGTTGTTAATCTATTCGGTTGCAGATTGACAATGCCTAAGGAGGAGAAGAGGTTACATCGAAAGCATTAACCTACAAGACTGTTCATGTAAAGCAATGAGCAGTAAGTGTTGAGCAAAGAACCGTCCGGGTTAAGTAAATAGTTTGTTCTATAAGTAAGGCGACTAGCTCGTACACTCGAAAACAACAAATAATGAGAAAAGAAAACACAAATCATAATAAATAAGTAACTTCTTACCTTGATCACTTTACAGATCAGAATTTCCATGAGTTTCCGTAAACTAACATAATCGCCAAGTTGTCCTTCCCGCAAAATGTCTGAAGCTACTGGAGTACCACCATATGGGCTCTGTGCAATGGCCAAGCCAGCTACTTTATCCTTCAACTCTGGCCAGTACAATGACAAAGCAGCTGCTGAATCTATTCCCCCTTTGCTGTGTCCAAGAATCAAGACACGTTTCTTGGCACCCCAATATATTTCCTCGATATACTCCTTTATCTCTCTAGCATTTTTCTCAACTGAAGCCTGAAGATTAATACCTCAACACTCAATGGGACATCAAGAACATAATGACACACACAATAGAAGAAGCATCATCACAAGTACCTCGCTATGAATCTTCGCAATATGACAAGCAAGGCCCATCTTTGAGAAACTCATCTTTGCATTGACAAAATACATTGGTCCGTGGTTACTAAAAAGACCTGCCAATTACATAAATGTGATAGGAAATAAGCAGAGTCTCAATGCATCAATCAATAAATTGAGGGCCTATTTAATTCTTGAGAATTTCGAAATTTCTACTTTCATTCTCATTAAAGAACGAAAATAGATAACGGAAACTTATTTGGTGACACTTGGAAACAGATAAAAGAATTACTTTAATTTTTTAAGATTCAAGAGTTCAAAATGAAAAGGTAAAAGAAACTCATGCCTCTTCCCCTCCTAGGTGATTGAGGACGATGCATCTGCAGTTGCAGCTCAGTCCTTAAACAGGTACAAATAAAGATGTAATCCAATATGTACTGAGTGTGTGGAGTTAAGCCACAAGTGGTGTCAGAATGAGAACACTGTTCTTTCAACTCCTCTATGTTGAAGGTGAGCTCCAATCTCCCCTCATTTGAAGATGAGCAGTGCATTAGGTTCAAGGCATCACTATTTGAGCAACCAACTTCTCTCAAAAGTGAATAGTTTAAAACTGGAAACAGTTTCCAGTTTCATAACAAGTTCATTCTTCAAACTTTAAAACTGGAAACAGTTTCCTTGTTCCATCTATAAACAATTTCCAAAATGTCACCAGACCTAGTGCGTAGCATGTTCACAGAAATTCCGCAAGAGCCAAACAGGCCCTTATGCTCTTTAGAATAAATGTCTAAGGACGACAAAAATAATCGACAGACCCAAAAGTCCCCATGTCTTTACTATGGCTTCTTTCGCAGAAATCTCAAAATTCTGTCACTAATATAAAGAGAATAAACCAGTCAAGACCTTACGAAAAATTCACGCGATAGCAGCAATTTGTACCTGGAACCAACAAGTACACAACCGATTTAGGCAACTTGTGTATGCCATGTCTGACAGAGAGAAGAACAAAGTAATCAGTAATTGCAGCATGCAGGACCAAGCTAGCCGATGGGACACACAGTATAAATTAAATGTTTAAAATACCTGATGTCATCTAATATTTTCATGAACTTTTCAGTTCCATCTTCAACAGGAGGCAATCCTGGATATCGTTCAAGCCATCCTATATCATCTGCAGACCCACGAACAGTCCTCCGTGCTCGTTCGATAAGACTGAGATTAGGATAAAAACAATAATGTCACCACAACACTACCTAATCTAAGGATAAGTAAAGCATCAGAAGTTGCCAGCTCGCTTAGTCAACAAAATCCCTTGATGTTGGTATCAAGGACTAAGAAAAAATCCCAGTATCACAGATCTAAAGTTTTAAATTAAAATGACAAAACAACTAATGCATAGCCCAACCATTGAATCAAAGGAAGGCAAAAGAAAAAATAAGTTCTCCAACAACAATCGTTCAGATAATAGTAAAACATCCAAACAACTTTACAATGTCCCATTAGGAAAGACATAGGATTTAGTGTGAATCACTACCTTTGAAACATGGAAATTCCGTTGGACCCCGTATAATTTGAAACAACAAGTGCATTCGTATTTACAGATGAACTCCCAGCAGAATCCCCTGTTATTTCATCAACTGCAGGAGGGGCATCAATTTCATTAGAAGATGATCCATGTGACGCTGAACTTTCATTAAAAGAAAGTTGATTGCTTGCAAGTTGTCTTCCATTTCGTCCAGAAGCAAAAGTCACTAACTCCTGCTCATGTAGCAAAGAATGCTCAGATTCCCCAGAAGTAGATTCCACTGCAATAACACAAGAATTCATCATCTCATCATCCAACACAGAAAGCTTGAAAAAGTAGCCTCAGGATGGAAAACAAATACTGTATAAGAAGTGAGAGTACTAGAAGATATGAAAAGGTAACAAAATATTAGAACACATAGGGATGAAACTGACTCAAGGTGGACTGCGTCTGTTATGTGCTTAGATCTTTTATTTAGCTATGTCCAGTTTATCTCCTCTTCTCCAACTCCTTTGATCCCGACAACAACTGGCAGATGCTATTGTTAAGTTAGTAGCCACCGTATGTAGCATAGTAGTTTGAATTATTGAACTTATTGCAGGACAACTCGTAAACATTTTCCTATTAAGTGAAATTATCTGTCATATGGTGAACCCAAAACAATAGTGCCGCAGATACCCCCACAACATTGGACAACAAATGTATCCCAAGAAAGAGCTTTTTTCTTTTGCTAGGAGACTTTATTGAAAGGAAGAAAGTTATCCAGCTTAAAATTGAAAATTATAGTCTTTGAGTCCTTTCTCTCTAGCTAATTCTCACAGACCTTCAATTCAACAGTTTGAAAGGACATTGATCAGGCAGTTCAATAACTATTTCTATGTTTAGAAGCTCCCAGTACTAAAGAAGGCAGAGAAACAACATAGGAGAATTCTTCATGGAATAATTTCACTGGATTCTTCCTTTTACTTCTGTGTGCTCGAGTGTGTGTGTGTGTGTGTGTGTGTGTTGTGAGAGAGAGAGAGAGAGAGAGAGAGACAGAGAGAGAGAGAAGCTACATGAAGCAACAAAACAGAACATTGGACAATGCAGAGAAGATTACCAGAATAATCCGAAAAGCAGCCAGTTATGTATGAAGTTGTCTGTGAAAGATAAGAAGCAGCCTCATTTAATGAAGGCATGGAGGTAAAAAGCTGAGGGAAGAGCCCATCATATCCCAGAGAAGAGTTCTGTCCCTGCATAAGAGAAATATGTTCATTGAATCTGGAGCAGCTATCTAATTTAGGAGGTTGATAATATACTGAAAAGAGGGCAAACTCACGTATAGTTCTATGCTTTCACAATGTTTAACATACTTAAATATACTTTACAAGCACATCTATTGAAATTTTGCCTCTTCAACACGTGACATGTGGAGAGCAAAAAAATTCAGAGAATCCAAGCTATAGAGGTCCTTTCTACATCGAAACATGCCCACGATTCTCGCGACAAACAGTAGCTAAAATCAGCGGTGAATAGAGAATTCCAGCAGGAAAATCATTTGATAAGCTAATAAGGTTTCATTCCACACACACACACACCCCATATTTTGCAATCGATTGGGTTCAAGCCGAACACCAATAAGACAACACAACACGAAATTCGAAGAAGCACTCCCAAGCCCCAAACGCCATCATCCAATTTTGCACTGCCCTAGACTTGTTCCCCAAGTCGGTACAACACCAATCATGACTCAACGACGCTTGAAGCGGAGGCGTTCAATTTGGCATGCAAGAAAAATTTCCCATTTCCTGGGAACACAAGAACCACGCGCAGCACCCGCACAAACCCCGACACGAACGAACCCAATTTCGCGGAGGACTCGTCAATCAACGACTGCAGCGATCACCGAGAGACGAAACATTCTCGAAACAAACCCCCAAAAGAAAGCGCGAAATGCTCATATACACAACAAGCGGGTCGTGGAAGAAACGGCACTCACGAACAATGGCGCGCTCGTTTCTCCTCCACCACTAGCTCTTCTTCCTCCAGGGTCCATCCTTCATCACAAGAACTTCGATCGCATCACCGGGGGGAAACCGCCGTGATTCGACGGAATGCTAAAGGGCAACCTGCGGGACCAGGGGGTCGAATCGGTGGAAGATCGGCTTTGGATCCGACGATGATCGCTGCGAAGAGCGCGAGCCCGAGCGTTAGCGTGCGGGAGAGAGAGAGAGAGATTCGAGTGCAACTTATTCAACGGAAGACGCAGGATTCTCCAGGTTTCTCCCCTGGAAAAACACAGCGGTCAGCGAAGCGAAGCTAAGGGCAATGCGGCAAGGCGGTCGAGGGTCCGACGCTTCGGCGTCGTTTTTGGGAGAGGTGGACAGTTTAGCTTATAGCGTATCGGCGTCGTTTTGGGAGAGGTAGGCATTTGGCTTATAGCGTAACGCGCCGCCAATCGTAACGTCGTCGTCGTACCGACTTAACGTCGAGGACCATCTCTGTTTTTATCCATTATTCCACCAATTGAACTCCTTCATCTTTTCTTTTTTTTTTTTTGTGTGGAAATTTGGCAATAAATTATTTACACTTTTATCTTACGTGCAAGTTTATTCGAAATTTCCCGTGCAAAGAAATTATATTATCGACCCTAGATTTCGTCGTTAACTTTCAACCGTCTCCCAAATCCTGATCCCGTGCACCAAGGCAAGTCGAGAATCAACTTTAGCGATTTCATTCTATCTATCGATTTTAAGTGCCTCAGAGTGAGAAATGGCATTTCTTACCTTAAGTGATATATGTATTTTTGGAGATAAACGGTCTTCTCTTGGTGAAGCAATATTCACGACGGAACAAATTTAGGTTTGATTTTCCGATCACCACGGACCCGAATCATTCATTATGCCTGCAAGACTCTTCCGAGCTCCAATGCGTCGACCTAGCATGCATTCCTCTGTATGACGATTGCGCAGCCTGGTGAGCCCCTTAAAACATCCATGTTGATAACCAATTTGGCTAATTAACCACTTTTAATTACTTTGAGGCTTCTGTTTATGAAGCTAATTAAATTCACAGAATCCTATTAAACTTCACAAACAACATAGGTGATCTCCACACAAATATAGGTCATTTTGAGATACCGATGCATTTTTACATAATAAAAGTTTTGGATTTGACGAAGGGAGTGACCTCTGCGAGCCATGTGTCGCTGCCTCGTCAGAGATAGGATTTTGTGTTGCCGAGCGAAGACGATTGCCTTAATTGAATTTGTAAATATCATTATCATTGTCTATAATTATGTCACGGTCGCGCTTTTTTAACTTCACATATGGATGGAGACGCCCTGCCACTTTCAATGGAAGATATTACCCCAACAAAAATTAGTAGGATTAACAAGGAAATTCACCTTATTAAAAGGGTGATGAACTATCTTTTTAATTTTTCTAAGGACAAAATTCCCTTACCCCTCTCGAAAGATATATTTTTTACTCTAGCACCACTACTTCCACACCCTCTCAAACAACTTTTTTTTTTTTCATATTTGTTTTTTTCTAAACTTATCCTCCTGCTTAGAATTTGTAACGTACTTAACTCTGTCATATGGTTAATTCTTTTTTTTTAAATATCAATTAAAAAATTGTGTAGTGATGACATGAAAACTAAATAAAAATTAGACTATTATAGCTCAATGACACATATTAAAGATTTAATTACACCAAATATGATTCTCTTCACTCCTATTTGTGCTTAGGTTATTTTTAGATGGTTTCCCAGTATATTAATATAGGCTCGTTATATTTCCACCCATTTATTAGCTCTCGACACCCCCTATCATATTGATTGACTTATATTATCCCATGCGGATCTCACTCTTGATTTAAGATTATTTCTTAATTTTTTTATTCTTTTTTCAATTTTACTAAAAGAAAAACTTACCCACATCCCTTCCGAACAACTTTTTTTCAACCTAAATTCTTTTTCCACATCCATTACATTTTAATGTATCATTCATGTTTGTTCTGAACTTATTCTCCGTTATTATAATCTAAGCAAGCACTAATCAAATATCAGAGTAAAGATATGCTAGTTTTATTTGGAAATTTTTTACTTTATTTTCATAAATTATCCTCATAATCATGAATGTTTCGACTTCAATTTTTGGTACAAATTTATGAGAATTTAATTAAAATTTGAATATTGTGGTCGATGTATGCATTATACACAAATTACTCGAAGATTATCCTCTTAGTTGTGCTTAAGTTATTATTTGAATAATAGCTTCCTAGCTCAAAAAAAAGAAAAGAAAAGAAATACACAACTCATTAACAAAATAATTAGTTTTTTTTTTGGTCAGAAACACAATAATTAGCTAGCTATCTACCAAATATACTATCTTTTTGGAAAAGGAAAGAAACGGAAAAAACCAAAAAGAAAAAAAAAAGAAGGCAAGCATTAATCTTAAATCAAGAGTGGCCCCAGATTTAACCTTGGTAAATGTTGTTTGAGAGGAGCATGAATAGTTTCGTCTTGAGTAAAATTGAAAAAAAATAAAAAGAAGAAAAAATGTTAAGAAATAATTTTAAATCAAGAGTGGGACCCCCAAATGATAATGGAGTCAATTTAATGTAAAATGGAGTGTGGGGAGTCAGCAAGAGGGTGGAAATAGCGAGAGCCATATTTTTAATATAATAATTATATCACTTACACAAAAATTTGAATATATAAATTATTAAATTAAAATGGAAAAATTAGAGCAAACCTAAAATCATATCTTATCAGCAAGACATTCATTCATAATACAAATCGAATTTTTTTACCATTAACTCCATAAATTCCACTAGAAAAGTATATGTAACATGAAGATAATCCATAGAGATGTCAAGGCGGCAAATATATTGCTTGATGACTCCTGTGAGGCTGTGGTCGGAGATTTCGGGCTGGCAAAGCTTTTGGATCACCAGGACTCGCATGTCGCCACGGCTGCGAGAGGCACCGTGGGACATATAGCCGCCGAGTATCTCTTGACGGGGCAATGCTCCGAGAAGACGGATGTGTTCGGGTTTGGGATTCTTCTCCTCGAACTGATCACTGGAGTTTGGCAAGGTTGCTAATCAGAAAGGAGCGATGCTCGATTGGGTAAGTGAAACTTCATTAATAAGATTGTTTTAGCTCGATATCAATCCGGATGTTCTCATTCCTTTGATGATGTTTGGTTATCCTCGGTTGGCTAGCATTGAGCGATCACTCCAGGTGAAGAAAATTCATCAAGAGCAGAAACTGGAAATGCTCGTCGACAAGGACCTCCGGAGCAACTACGATCGGACTGAGCTTGAGGAAATAGTACAAGTAGCACTCCTATGCACCCAGTACCTTTCCCGCTCACAGGCCGAAGATGTCAGAAGTGGTCCGAATGCTCGAAGGCGACGGCCTTGCAGAAAGACGGGGAAGCCTCTCGGAGAGTTGAAGCGAACAAACGCAAGCCTCATGAGTTCTCATCGTCGGACAGATATTCCGATCTCGCCGATGATTCTTCCTTGCTGGTCCAAGCGATGGAGCTCCTGGGCCCTAGGTGACTATGGTTCTTTTTTCGTCGAGGAGCGGACGAATTCTTTAGTTTTGGAAAGGAAGGAGTTTGAAACAGCTTATAGCTATTCCATATACACAGAGAAAATGAATTCATGTTGGTGACCTTTCGTATGACTTTATAGCACGCCTGAGTTAAATGGGGTAAACATCGTAAGGAATTACATGAGAGATCTGAGAGCTATCTGGAATGTGTGAGCACAAGATGAGTATTTGTATTTGTATTATAGTCGATCGAATGTATGTCAGCTCCAAACGGCTTCAGTGCTTGTTTGCAACTGTACAGATTTTGGTTTTTGAAATGGACACTCTTTTCTTGAACTTCTAGTACTTGAGTTTTGACTGCAGTTTGTTGAAGTGGATGTGTCATTACATGTCTAACTTTTGCCTTAAAATAATGTCTCGAACTGTGTGGACTCTCGTGTTGGATTTCAGATACGTCTCTGCTCCCACGTCGTCTAAATATGACTGTTGTGCTGGTAGAAGTATCGCGCAACCCTAAAGCTACGCAGCGCGTTCCAGGTACATGCTCCGTTCCTTCATATGTGAGCTCAAGTCGGTCCTAAAACAAACTTAATAATGAAGTTCTGACACAAGATGAAACTCTATTAAATTTAGTACGAGACAGGACACAATACATGATATGAACGGCTTTAGTGTTTAATGTAAGTCTTCTTGTGTAATTTTTTGTTGTGTCGGAGGAACTGACACAGTAGTGGAGGTTGAATATATAAGTGGAATTCTTGTTATTAGGGGTGATCGGTTCCAGGGTGGGTTGGGTCCAGACCTGGAACCTGAAACCAACCCTGTTATAATCGGTTCCCAATTTTTGGAACCTGAAACCGACCCTGTTTTCCCTGGACCCTGTTTTGGAACCGACCTTGTTTTTCCGGTCCGGTTTTAGGTCTACCCGAGAATCTGTTTTTTTTTTCCTTTTTTCTGAGTTGCTTCTGCATGATTGAACTCATAATCTTGAGTACGAACTGATAAAGACTCGCTGAAGCTGAACCATCCAACTACGCAAGATTTGGTAGTAAATCCAGCAGGCGCTTGCAACATATAACTACACAGATGGACCATTCTTTGACTTGTTGGTGCGATTGCAAACTTTTTCTTGTCTACGATGCTAAACTATATTCTAGGATCAAATATCATTGTTCTTGTCTACGATGCTAAACTGATATGTGACAAATTATTCCCTTCCTATTCATAAATTACAAGCAGCAAGCATAAAATGTTAGCGATCTGCATGCTAACAAGCACGAGTTCTTTTCTTTTCTATATTGGATAAAAGGGCGAAATTTCTTTTTAGTGAATTTAAGTTCTTCATCTAAACCAAAAGAACGACAAGAATGAACAAAGGGGGACTCCTGATGAACATATCAGGTTAACTCAAGGGGGTTCTCAACTAAAATACGCAAAAATCACTGATCTTTAAGGAGCTTGCAACATATAGAGTTTCGAGTTGAGGCCAACCACTGAAATCAGGTATGCAACCAACGCTTATATTCTACCATTAAACAAACTTAGAAGTCCAAGAAGCAAGAGATAAAAGTTTTAAAAAAAAAAAAAAAACTCAGACAAGCCGGATTCCGCAAGATCAGATGGCGTCTCTTCCCTCAAGTCCTCCACTGATCATCAAAATTCAGAGAATCTTCTACACCAACCCAAGCCCGCGGCGAAAAACCCCTAAAACTTGAACGCAAAACCTCAAACTCGAACTCGAACATTTCTCCAACACGAGAAGAGATTCGGAGCTCGAGCTCGAAACCATCTGACCTTGCAACAAAGACGAAGAAGAGAGACTGAGGGAACGGAGGACTCACGGATCGGTGAGAGCCAGACGGGCGAAGCGAACGAGGAGCCTCCTCAGTTGCGTAATTGCGTTCTTGCGACGAAGAGAGAACTGAGACAGAGGAGCGGCGAAGAGAGAAGTGATACAGAGGAGCGGCGAAGAGAGAAGAGAGAATAGAGAAGAGAGGTAGGGTAACGTGATCGTCATTTAGGGTTTTTTTTTTTTTACGTTATCTTAAAACCGGTTCTAAAACCGGTCCGGGTCGGTTTTTACTTGGAACGGGAAACCGGACCGGTTCTAACCGGTTCCAAAAAAATGGAACCGGTTCTAACAAGCACCGGTACCCGGACCTGTTTTTCGGGTGGGCCGGTCCGGTTTCCGGGTAAACCTAGTCCGGTTGCACACCCCTACTTGTTATTGGAGGCCGAGGTGGTGGTGTTGGGATTTTGACTCTCCTTGGTAGCTCAAATGGACCATTCTCGATCACGTTTCTCGATTCATAATCAGTTGATTGAACAAGAACTTTCATTCCACATTTCCAATAAGCATAGTTATCTCCATCAAATTTTGGTGGCCTACTAATATATTGAGCTTCACGAAAGGATGCTCCTATAATATCAGCCATTATGGATCATTTGCTAGAAAGTAAAACACAATAAAAGTAATTGAGCACACAGGCTCTAATACCAGTTGAAGTGGACCGAACATAACAACCAAGTAGTGGATTTATTGGTTATTATACGAATTTTTAAAACTTTTGTTCTTGTTTTTGTGCATAACAATGTGTAGAGAATAAAACGATGTTTATAAATGAAATATGCAATGCAACGGAAATGTAAAGAGAGCAAGGAATAGAAGAAATTGCAGAGCAATTTAGTGATTTGGCCTTTCCATTTGGCTTACTCCACTCTACCGGCTCTAGTAGCATAATATTAAGACTGGAATCCGCTAATGCAATTTTTGAAGCCTTCGACAGCATCTTTAGATGAAGTTACCTCTCTACGAGAAAAATGTAGCTCACTCTACAAGTACACTCAAAGCTCCCTTTATAATGATTTTACCTATACTCTTTCAAAGAATTACAATTAGAATCCCAAGAATTTTTTGAAAGAATAAGCACAAGAAAATAAAACAAGGTTTTAGAGCATTTTTAACTCCCACTTTGAAGCATATGGATAGGCCTCCGAGCTTGATTTGCACGTTGGAGACTTCTCCTAGGTCAATAGAGACATTGAAGTGTTTGTTCTTAACTCAAAACGTTCATTTCTTTTTTTTTTTTGGTCGAACTCAAAACGTTCACTCGGTGTGATTAAAGAGCATTGTCTAATATAGACAAAACAACTTTGTAAACTTATCCAACACTTCCTCTACTTATCCAAAAATGGCAAAACCCATCTTCTCCATAATGTTTCTCTTACGATTCCAAGACTTGGAATTGGCTCCAAAGCATCAATTTGAGTTTAAATCAAATTGATATAAAGCTGAATTTTTATTTTTAGGTATGTGTCCACTGCCTCTGTAGCGTGAACTTTCTCTGCAACGCGATCCATCCAGACTTGATGATTTTACCAAATTCCAATATGTTCGCCTGCTGTACTTACGTCCTTTCAAGCATACTTGACTTATCCAAGTTGTTCACCTTCCATCTGGTCCATCCAAGTACCTTGCAACCCAAGTCCCTTACTTATCCATCGGCAAAAGTACACTAGAAGTGCTATAACTTGTGTACGGCGATCATTTTATTGCCAACTTTTTTGAAAATCGATTACTTTAGTGCCAATGCTGACGTGGCTCGCCGGAAATCCAATATGGCGCTGACACGGCTCGCCGGAGAGGTCTAGTTAGCATTAAAAACCAAAAACGACGCCGTTTAGCCCGCTGACGTGTATTTTTTTTTTAAAAAATTATATTATATTAAAAAAAAAAAACCTGCAGCAGTTGCAAGGGAGCCTTTGCCGTTGCTGCCGCCAACCTACCACCGCCGGGAAGGGCCGGCGGTGGTGGGCGCAGTGGTCGGCGAGGGTTGCTGGCCCCTGGCCGGGGCCCGGCGACCCTCGCCGAGCCCAGCGAGGGCCGGATCCGGAGAGGCGAGACCTTGCCGTTGCGACCCGGGCGACGGCGAGGTTTGGCCTCGCCATCGCTTGCAGGTTGCGACGACGCGCGGCGCGAGCCTCGCCTTCGGGCCGAGGCGAGGCCGACCTCGCCATCGCTTGGGTCGCGACGGCGCGGCGCCGCGCGGCCTCGCCATCGCCGGCGAGGCGAGCGCGGACCTCGCCAGGATCCGAGGCCCCTCGCCAGGCCCGCCGGCTCGGCGAGGTCGCCCGGATCCGGCCCCCTAGGCTCGGCGGGTCGCGGCCCCCCGGCCCGGGCCGGCGACCCTCGCCGACCACTGCGCCCACCACCGCCGGCCCTTCCCGGTGGTGGTGGTGGGTTGGCGGCAGCAGCGGCGAGGGAGCGGCAGCAGCGGCGAGGGACCCTCGCCGTTGCTGCAACATTTTTTTAAAAAAAAAATTAAAAAATTAAAAAATTCGAAGTATAAATGCCAGGTCAGCTTTTTGGCCGGAATTTTAGCCGGAGTCACTAAAGTGATCGATTTTCCTCCGACTTGACACCAAAGTGATCCGAAAAAAAGTTATGGCACCAAAGTGATCGCCGTACATAAGTTATGGCACTTTTAGTGTACTTTTGCCCTTATCCATCGAAGATCCTTCCAACTCTAGCACTTTCTACTCGGCATCTTGTTCTCCATTTGCAAATTAAGGAAGCTCTCTACTAGTACAACGTCTTGTCGTAATTATTATCAAAAAACGAAATTGGGTGTATAGAGGGCATTTCATTTGTAACCTCAAATATTCATATTAGTTAACAGAGAATTTTTCTCGTCCTCAAAATACGTAAGCAGTTTTCCCAACGGTGTTGACATGATAATAATGGTTTGAGACCGAACCAAACTGAAGTTTTGGTTTGGTTTGAGTTGTGATTTAATTAGTTTGGGTAGAGTTTGGGGCTGAGATTTTTCCAAATTGATAAGTTCAATTTGGTGATCTGTAGCGCCTATTGTTGTATGGATTTAGAGAAGGAAATGAACAGGTTCAATGTTGGTTTTGAGTTTACTTCAACAATGAACTATTTCTCCTAGTGCTGTTCAATGCTGAAGAGAGTAAAGTGCTTTACAAATCTGACTCATGACCTTCGTACCTGTGGCCACTCGCCTGCACGTAATTGAAACTTCCCGAACCGTGATGCATTTGACTTCTGTCTAAAATTGGATTATATCGAAGTGTTGGAATACTACAAAAGGATCACTAAT